ACCAACTCAACCGCACCGAGATTCTGAAAGGAAAGGACGGGAACGATAGCTCTGCTCAAACTAACCTTGTTCTGACATTTTCATCATCAGCTCCTAAGGTATCTGCTATATTGAAACGGCACCACAACATCTTAACCGAAAGTGATAATCTCAAAAAAATTTTTCCTGTTCCGCCTCGTGTTGTTTACCGACGGTCAAAAAACCTTCACGACATGTTAACGTCATCTAAAATTGGTACCCGTAAAGAGAGTGGCTGTGCACCTTGTAACAAACCACGGTGCAAAGTGTGTGTGCACATGCAAACCACGCAAAACGCCGCGAGCACGTCTTCGGACTTTAAATTAAAGATTCGTGGTAGCTTCGACTGCGACACTTATAATGCCGTATACATGTTGGAATGTAGTGCCTGTTTGAAACAATATATTGGTCATACTGAAACTCCATTCAGAATACGCTTTAATAACCACAAATCCCATGTAAATATATTCCCTCATCTACCGCTATCACGACACGTTCGCATGCCGGGCCACTCTTTCGATCAAATGAAAGCGACCATTCTTGAATCTGGTTTCCGCTCAAACCATGATCGCGAACTCCGGGAATCATACCTGATATTCAAGTTCAATACTGTAGCAGATGGTATCAATGAAGATGCAGGCACATTGACGTGTCTTCCTTCCACGTAAGCTTATTGGTCAACAATATAACAAGTGTACGCTAGTCTGCTTCTTTATCAGAGAGTGCGCTGTGCTGATAATGTATACAGAAACAGCGATTCTTATATATATATAATAGAATTATTTATCATCGGCAACGCGTATATTTTACACGCGAACCATTATTGTAAGAAAAGAGCTTTGACATCCATAATGTCGCGATGCACACGTGTATCCCGCAAAGCCGTATCAGCTGCCAATGACCTACAAATGGTGACATCACACAGTGCTGTATAGATATATATTTTTGATCACTGAAAACCGTTTTTGTGCTGATACAGATGAGCCTTGTTCGTTACACAAGAGCATGTGTGTTTTTTGGGGGGTCTCGAATATTGACATATATAAGCGCGCGATTTTTATGCCCTGTATTCCCAGACGAAGGCCGGTCCCACGGTCGAAACGTCGGACTAAACTGTGCTGAAACGTTCGTTGTGTGTGAATTACTCCTTTTTCTATACTATCAGAGCCTGCGTGATACTTCCTATAATCCCCCCTATATATATATATATATATATATATATATATATATATATATATATATATATATATATATATATATATATATATATATATAAGGGAGAGAAGTGTATACCTAAGGGCTCGTTTTTCCGTGTTTTAACACAATATTAATGAGATATAACAGACAGTAATGCCAAGGAATGCACAGGGGAAGTTATTAGAACCAATGGAATGTAAATAAGATGAAAGAAGAAAGAAAAGTGGATGAAAAAATTACCAGCTGTGAGCAGGAATCGAACCTACGACCTTCGAATATATATATATATATATATATATATATATATATATATATATATATATATATATATATATATATATATATATATATATATATATATATATATATATATATATATATATATATATATATATATTTTTTTTTTTTGAATGCCCCTGAGCACAGCTACTATTTTTAGGCAGTGCATTTCTCGTCCGGCTACGTTAGACTTGAATTAGTTTTGAGACCTCATACTCGAAAAGGTGAAATCTACAGTGCGCATTTACACGCTATGTTCCGCTTCGCCAACTGTAAACTATTGGCGGAGGGCAACCCACGATTTCTTTTCTTTTTTTTTTTAGGGGGTGTGGTGTGCAGCAGAACGCCTAACTTTGGTAATTGGTGGTCGCTGTGAATGCCTGCAACTATTTTAGTATGCCCTGAAAAGTTAAATTACCAAAGCATATTATGGTGTAGGGGGTTCAGATTCCCTTCCTCTCCCCTCTTTCCTTGTGGCTTTCTGGTTCTGCGTGCGTGTGACGCAGTATTTGTTTTTTAATCTCACAGCTTTCTGAGCACAGCTAAGTTCCAAGAAATCAGCTCAGTTATTCTGAATATTGTAGACACCTAACCAACGAAGAAGGAGTTAAGAGAGAAGAAATCAGTATAAGACACACCCTTTCTGAATTATTTTCGATCTCTCACAAGGACTTTTATGGAGCTCAAATTCAGCAGAATGGCGTGTCATACTTCAAGGACTATGGTATCGTGTGCTAGACATGAATGATGGGCAGGTGCGAAGAAATCTGCATCAAGAAGTCGCGATGGAGGAGCCGAAGTGCATAGCAGTTCCTGCATGCGGCGCACGGCTCTTCCAGTATAATTCGACTGTAGCGCCGCCGCTGCTGGCAACGCGGAAGGGATATATATAAGTGGTTATATCAGAAGAAAAGAAAAGAAAGGTGCCGACCCGTAACTGTCTCTCCTTACGAGGACACCTCAACAGGTCAGCAGAGGAATGGGATATGGGGAATAAAAGATATAGGGAAAAAGAAGGAGGGATAAAAAGAATAGAAGGAAAATAGACGGAGAAGAAGCCAGCCAACGAGAGGAAAAAGAAGAAGATAGGAAAGTGGGGATCCGGTCGAAGCAGTCCAAGGGCGGGGTGCCACAATGCGAGAGCTGCACGGCGTCAGGAGACCGCGGAGGGCGAACCAGTCGGCGGGAGCTACGCTGATGCCGGAGATCGCGAGGGCACAACCGTCCAGCTTGAAATCCTGCGAGCGAATCGCGGAAGGGATCAGGATCAGGCGGCGAGGCCACAGAACACCTGAGGTGTTGAGTGGTCACGCCACTCAACACTTCTAGTACACTCTACTGACGGCGCACAGGATTCTGCCAACGTTCAGCCATGAGTAGGAAGACTAAGAAGAAGCAAGTGGCTCTGGAAAGAAAGAAAAATAGCGGGAAGCTGTCGAACCCATCAACGACGTGCCGATTCCAAGTTGCAATCGAAGGAAGATAAGGATAAGCAGCAGCGAAGAGCCAAAAACTCCGAGTTTCCATCTAGGCCGATGGCATCACAACTATGCTGGAACAAGGTTCACTGGTTGAAAAAATGATTTGCCACCCAGCACCAAAAAGAATCTGGCTCTGGCTTGCTGGAAAACTTCTGATGGTGAGATATAGTGGCTGGAGCCGACAGATGATTTTGTGGCATAACATTGTCGTCATTCTGTGGCAGCTTAACAGCACTCAGTAAAAAAATACCCTAAAGCTAAGCAAAAGCCATCAGCTCTGCTGTTTCATCAGTCTTGATGCTAAAGGGGCTTTGCAACACTTTTTTAGCATGGTCAGAAAACACTGCCGATTGGTAGCCGAGGCTCCTGAGAACATGCTAGTCAAAAATTATATCGGAGCATAAGGACTGAAAGTTGGTGATAATACTTGAACAGAAGAAGAGCTGCGGTTTGTCTTTTCTCTTGTGTCCGCGTAGTCGTGCGCTGTGTTAAAATATGTTCAAATATCGAAGCATGTAGACTTAAATTGACAATTGATTCTCCAATTACGCTAAAAGTGACCCCCTCTTCCCTGTACAAGTGATGCCATATACTCATATAACTGTGCCAGATCTCCTTCAGCAGCGGTGAGTACAATGGTACACATCAACCTCGGAGGCACGTCACACACCATGTGTTTTTTTCAAATGGCCTCAAACACAATGTGCATATTTTGCAGACTTCCTGATTGGACAACTAGTGTTCACTTAACTTCATTGTGCAGCATATTGCTACAGAGTATCACTTTGTTGGAGACACTACCATGTTTGATGATTGCTCAATATGCCGCGTTTCAGGACAAGCATTAGGAGTTTTTTTGTTTTTTTTTTCCTCGATACGAATAAAATCAGAGAACAAACTGAGCATGGCTTTTGCACATAATAATTGATTTTTATTATTTAAGGACTGGAGCTGACTGATTGCATAGTAATTAGATATTTAATACTTATGAATCTTAATTAGGCAAACAAAAACAGCACATCTTTCATTTTCTTTCCTGGAATCTAATATTGAGTGCCTTGGAATTATGCAGTGTGAATTTGATGCCTTTTCAGACAGTGTATCATGATCCGCACCTGAAGGGGTGTGAATCATGATGCATTGTCTAATACGCAAATTCACGGCCTTAGACTTATTGGAGCATTGTGATCTGCATAGTTGCTGCACCCACCACAGGAGGCCACCACACGCTCGTATGCGCTCGCGATCTCACTAAAGGATAGTTACCAATAAAAAAAAGAAATAAGTGCCGAAGGTCGTGACATGCACATCACATAACTTCTTTTCCCCATGCCGTTCCTCCCAGCTTAGCTTCCAGCACGTTCGTCGAGGTGAGAGGAGAGGGAAAGCAACTACAACATGCAACAAATTCCCGTAACCCTGTTCGTACTTGATAAATAAAAAAAAATTTGTGGCAATCAATTCATGGGGCAATAAACTCTTTTAGTGAAGACACTCGATGGTTACTTGGAAAAGTGTTGCAGGGCCCCTTTGAATGTAGCCTATTTGAAAATGTCGACTGCATTCAAACAAAAAAAAGTTGGTGCAAAAGGGCAGTAAATTTCATCCCCATGAACATAGTATAGGCTTATGACACGATAGCTTGCGTAGGGTAGCAGGATACACCACTCAAAGATCCATAATAGATTACAGCACACTCCGACACATGGACAAAGAAGAAACCTACAAAGACAAGCGTTGTGTCCATGTGTTTATTCTTCGTTCGTGTGTCAAAGCGCACTGTAATCTATTCATCCATATTTGATTCATTCTCAAAAATCACTACTCGCTCACTTCTGATGCTACGTCGTACGTCATTACTCAAACCTTGTGTGTCCTGGTCTTATATTATTAAGATATGATTTTCTGCACTCAAGAAACTCGGGTTTCATATTATGAGTGCGTGGTCAACAGTTACGCATTTAAACAGAGACATGGAGATTACATATTGAGTGGTCCATATCTTGTTTACTTGTGCTATTTCAGAGAACACCCTATTCAAAGTGACCATCTTGAATGACAAAAATGTCCTGCACATCTTGGAGGTCAATGAAACTACACAAGGTCGATATGTCTGCAAAGCTACAAATGAAGCAGGAGAGCGGGTGACTGAGTGCTTCGTGACTATTGGTGGTAAGGACCCTATACTACGTGTTAATGCATGTGTGTGTTAAAACATGAAAAGGCACAGGGCAGCCCCCCCCCCCCCAACTCCTATTTGAATCGACCAGTGATCTTAATGCCAGTGAATGATATGTGTCTTTGCAAGGAATTTAATGTGTCTTGTGATGCAATAATGCCAACCTTGCAAGCAGTGTTACACCAAAAAACTCATGCTTCAAGGCATTTATTATTTGAGTTCAGAGCACTGGGTAGGCTCTATAAGTCCCATGCATTTTTGGTTATTTTGAGGTACTGTTTTCTCGGTGACTAAAAGATATTGGCATAATGCATACACCATCTTCTTTCAAATTTTCTGCTCTTTCAACTGAAGCAGGTTTATCAAACACTGAGTAATAATTAAAGTTTTGCAAATTTTCAACCGTGAGGACCTAAATTTTGAGTTAATAGGCATCTATGAAAAATTTGTAACACAAAAACTGTAAAGTGCATAATTTTAATTCTGCGTCAGTATTTGTATGCATTTATGCAGAATACAAGAAAAAATAATCAACCAGTTATCTGGGAATACATAGGAAATAATGGTACCTAAGCAATAAAAAAGATGGTTTTGAGATAATCGAGTTTAAAGTTAGAAAACATCTGAAAAGCGATAACACTTTGTCATAAACACTGTTAAACTATATTATTCAGTAGCTACAGCTTGGTAATCATTGCCAAAGTAAATTTCTCACTTTGGAGCCTCTAGTAACGCTTGCCTTGCTTTTTTTGTGAGATGTCATGCAACTCTATCAGCAATGTGTTGTCGAATGTGGTCAACAATTTCCAGCCAATCGACTGTAGTTTGGCCACGATTAAATTTTAACTATTTCAAAAATTTTTCTCGTGTGAAACTAGCATCGTTAATGCAAGAAACAATATCCAATGTCGCAATGCTTGAGACTCTGCATCTAAATTTCAGAATTTTCACTCGTGCGAAACTAGCATCATTAAATGCAAGAACAATATCCAATGTCGCAATGCTTGAGACTCTGCACCTAAAAACAGACAGCAAAGACTCTTCGACTTGATTTCCATTAACTCAACGCTTACACCAGGTCATTTTCACTTGCTATTAGGTGTAACAAACAATAGTCATGTCCATTAGAGCATACCCATGCCGTGGTGGTCTAGTGGCTAAGGTACTCGGCTGCTGACCCGCAAGTCACGGGTTCGAATCCCGGCTGTGGCGGCTGCATTTCCGATGGAGGCGGAAATGTCGTAGGCCCGTGAGCTCAGATTTGGGTGCACGTTAAAGAACCCCAGGTGGTCGAAATTTCCGGAGCCCCTAACTACGGTGTCTCTCATAATCATATGGTGGTTTTGGGACGTTAAACCCCACAAATCAATCATTAGAGCATACCCATTGTCACCATGCACGTGATTCGCCTTGAAGGACGCTGAAAAGGCTGAGAGGTTCAGCAATGAACAGCCTGCTGGTTCAGTATTCAGCGCCTGGTATTTATTCGCATTTACAAGAGAATTGTATGGGTTGTCACGAAATTTCTACTTGCTGAAGACCACCTTCACCCCCAGCATCTCAACTTACCAACAAACACAACAAACACAAGGTGTAATGAAGCTAGGAGCTGAAATTGTTTGAACTTATACGTTTCCAAGACGAAGTGTGAATATCAAAGTGTACATTGTCTTCCCTAGAAGTTACCTGAAAATTTTTTATACACGGCCGACTATAGACAAGCATTTTGACTTGCTTGACCTTGGGTGCATTTTCACTTGTTTATTTGCTCCCAGAAAAACTGGTTTTGATGCCACAAAAAACAATGTTTAAAAAAAGCACTAACATGAAAAATATGCCCAAAGAGATACCCTTTTCAAATTGCAAAAAAAAATTTTGATTTTTTAAAATTTTGTCATACCCAGTGCTCTTAAGACAATGCTCAGTCTGCCCTACATAAACTCGGCCACACGAAAGTGGAATTCTGTACACTACACCGTCGGAGAAAACTTGTTTAGATGGTTGATTAACACATGCACCTTTTCTTGCCATCTTCACCGGTGAGGTAACAGTGCATAACCAAGATAACTTCTCAAATCCTGACATAACTTTGAGCCCTACTTGTCCACCAATCTTTCTTAGATTGTAAGCCTTGTGGTACATGCAGTGAATTACTGCCACTCTTCTGTGCTCATTATGGGGTCCATCCCCATACAACTCCTTTCGATAAATGCACCGTCTTTTTATCTATCTGAGAATACAATTTTCTATACACAAGAGGCCCAGGAAACTCTAGTCAAAGTTAAAAAATATGCCCACATGTTGCCGACTAATGCATAAAGTAAGGCACACAATTTTTTGAGTTCTGCTTAACTGCTTATTAAGAAATATTATTCAATAAACTTTTGAAACAACAAAGCTATAGACAAAAAAATCCAATGAGGAAGATGTCAATTGGTTTGTGAGATGCCCTATGAGATAGGATCTAGCTTTTTTTTTTGGTTTCAGTACGAGCTACAGGCCGGAATATTCAATTGGAGGTTATGTTTTCAGACAAAGTGGGAACATAGCCTTCTTAGACATTTTGTTTTCGGCAAACTTTTGCTGTTGGTACGGTGTACCTACCTGCCTGCCTAGCCATGCCAACACTAAGTCATCCATACGATACAAATTCATTACATTGCTGAATTCTCTTTATCTTAACGTTTTTCAAGACACATTTTCTGAGCTTTGCACTGTTTCAACATAGTCTCAGGCATTTAACAAATTTATTTCTCCTTATGTCTTTCAGCCTACCCTGTGCATTGTTGTATGCAATTTTATTTATCATTGTATGTTCCTCTTGTGATGTTACTGCATAGTTGCCCCGTTGTCCTGACTTTTTGTTTTTTTCAATATTGCTATTTTGTTTGAATTTTCTCATTTACCCTGTCTTGTTTGTATTTATTATTATTATTATTATTATTATTATTATTATTATTATTATTATTATTATTATTATTATTATTATTATTATTATTATTATTATTATTATTATTATTATTATTATTATTATTATTACCACTTTTGCAAGGCAGGCTAGAAAGGAAAGCAGAATAACATTAAAGGTACACCTATGTGAAACTATAGATGGATTGCTTAAGACTGATAGATTATTCAGTGCAAGCTTTATTGTGGAATGAGCCATCATAGTTTCAATATTTGAAGAGAAAATGATCCAAAGTTTCATTTTTGAATTTCATGCGAGGATTTCAGCTCGTGCACATCAGTGTGAAGCAACCAATTTCAAGTACTTTTTTTCCTATTTTATCCAAATTAGCTAAATAAATTTTGCTGACACTTGGTACATTAGGTCTCTAGCTCCCTAAGAAGAGAACATACTTCATTTTGTCTAATAAATAATCATATAGGCCTTAACAGATATCATAAATATTTGTGATTTCATAGCTGGTCGATGCTGAAATCTCAAGGTGGCAGTGCTGCATGTATTTTCTTTGGCCAAGTGTGCTCACTTGCCAAGTGTCTTCTTATGGTGGTTTTTATATTATAAAAGAATAAATCACATTTGCAGTAGAAATATTTTTCTGTTTTGTATTCATTAAAGACAAAATTTGTTAGCTACCCTTTCTTTATTATATGTATAATTATTTTTTTCAAAAAATTCATAAGAACAAGATACCATCTATTTCCTTTTTTTTTCCTAGAACCTCAAGAACACAGAGACAAGGAGAAGATGGATAAGATGAGCACTGAGACATTATTTTCAACTGAGGACACTGTATTTTTGAAACCCATCAGGCATGAAAAATTTTTTATTAAGACAGCTGATGAAACAAAAATTCCTGAAGAAGAATCCTTTCTTGACCTGTTGCCAAGAAGGGCAACTGTTGAAGCATACACAGAACAAATTGAAGCCACAAAAATTTTCATACAAGAAGAGATCTCTATTCAGAAAAAGCTTCTCAAGGAAGATATAACTCAGGAGGAGATCAAAGAGACTAAGCAAGCGATCAAGGAATGGCCAGAGCGTGTGGAAGAAGTTCCAGAATTTTTTAAGAAAGTACTAAAACCAATACCTCGACATCAACAAGTAATTCCAGAAAAAGATGACATAAGACCAATTTCCCCTTTTGAAGAACTACCAAAACCTGTGGAAGCACTTCCGCATGCTTTGCCAGATGTAACGCAGGAAAGTGACCAACCCTTAAAACCTCAACCCCCTGTGGACAAAAAGCCTAAAACAAAAGTGCCTTCAACTCATCCAGAAGGGACTGAAATGCCAGAGTTTCTGACAAAAACATTGAAACCAACAGAGAAGTTCCGCAAGAAAGATATACCAGAAAAGGCAGAAGAAACAGAATTTCACAAATTCACAAAACGAAAAGTGACCATGCCAGAGCAAATCGACCAGAGAGAAGTATACAATGAAACAGAAGAGGTCGGTGAGATAAGTGGGCAACCAAAATTGAAAAAACCAGATCAAAGACAACAAAAAGATACACCCATCACTGAAGAGACAAGTGAAGTGAGTGATATTGCAATTCTGTCAGAGCCAAAGAAAGACAAACCACTCGACCAAAAGCCAGAAGACAAATTTGAACGCGAAAAAATATTGCCTGCAAAAAAAGAAACACGGGAGAAGATTCCTGCAGAATCTGTTAAGATGATTGAGGAACCTGATTCAAGGGTACTGCATCAAGAACCAATCGGAGCTGAAAAGCATGATAAACCAAAAGAGCTCAGACCAGCAGAATACAAGGCTCCTGAAGTACATGAAAAGAAACCAAGCGTTAAAGTTTTTCAAGTGCCTAAACCAAGAATGCCAGGAAGAAAAGAAATGCTGCAAGAGCTTCCACGTCTGCAAAAAACCAAACAACCTGTACAGCAGACTGATATCATCACTGAATCCTTTGAAAAACCCAAAGAAACTGATGGAATTGAGTACCAAACAGATGAGGTTATTGAAGAAACGATTGAATTGGCCAAGGCACCTAAGCCAAAGAAGACAAAGCAGAAGAAACCTGAAGAAGAGGAAGTAGTACCAATTGTAAAAGAAATGGATCAAATGGTAGACCTTGAGTCAAAATCATGGCCTAAGGAAGAGAAGCATAAAAAAGAGCCATTAGTTCAACAAATCACTGTCCCTAAAAGGAAGGAAAAACCACGAGAAATCACCACTGAGGCTGTTGAACATCCAGATATCATGGATGTAAAAACTATCCAGCACACAGATATCATCAGTAAATCTCTGGAAAGGCCTAAGGAAATTGCTCAGGTTAAGTATGAAACAGAGGACATTCTAAAAGAAACAGGAAAAATTGAATTCGTTAAGGTGCCTAAGCCAAAAAAGCCAAAGAAGAAGACACCTGGAGAGGAGAAGGAAGTACCATTCTTAGAAGAAACTGAACAAATAGTAGATGTAATCTCAATGGCACGGCTAAAAGGAAAAATACCTAAGGAAGCACCCGTGGTTGAAGAAATCACAGATGTTGAAAAAGAAGAAATGCCGCAAAAAATAACGACTGAGGCTGTAGAAATCCCAGACATAACTGATGTTAAGACTGTCCAACCCACAGATATCATTACTGAATCTCTGGAAAGACCAAAGGAAATGACTCAGGTTGAATACAAAACTGAGAAACATGTTGAGGAAACTCAAACAATTGAATTGGCCAAGGTGCCTAAGCTAAAGAAACCAAAGAAGAAGAAGACACCTGGAGAGGAAGAGAGAGTACCATTTATAGAAGAGCCTGAGCAAACCGTAGAACTGAAGTCAAAGGCACGGCCACAGGACGAAAAGCCTAAGGAAGTGCCAGTAGTTAAAAAAATAGCAATCACAGAAAAAGAGGAAACCCCGAGAATCACTACTGAGGCTACCTGAAATTCCGGATATCACTGATGTCAAGACTGTCCAGCGCACAGATATTGTCACTGAATCTTTGAAAGACCGAAGGAAATTGACTCAGGTTGAGTACAAAACAGAGGAACTTGTCGAAGAAACTGAAACAATCGAATTGGCTAAGGTACCAAAGCCAAAGAAGCCAAGAAGAAGAAGCAACCTGAAGAGGAAGAGAAGTGCCAATTGTTGAAGAGACAGAGCAGACAGTAGATCTCGAGTCTAAAAGCACGGCCTAAGGAAGAAAGCCTAAGGAAGGCCCGTGGTTCAAGAGATCATAATCCTTGAGAAAGAGGAAAAACCCCGAGAAATCACTACTGAGGCTACTGAAATTCCGGATATAACTGATGTCAAGAACTGTCCAGCGCACAGACTATTCGTCACTGAATCTTTGGAAAGACCGAAGGAAATTGCTCAGGTTGAGTACAAAACAGAGGAAGGTGTCGAAGAAACTGAAACAATCGAATTGGCCAAGGTACCAAAGCCAAAGAAGCCAAAGAAGAAGAAGAAACCTGAAGAGGAAGAAGAAGCGCCAATTGTTGAAGATGCAGAGCAGACAGTAGATCTTGAGTCAAAAGCACGGCCTATGGAAGAAAAGCCTAAGGAAGCACCCGTGGTTGAAGAGATAATAATTCTTGAGAAAGAAGAAAAACCTAGAGAAATCACTACTGAGGCTACGGAAATTCCAGATATTACTGATGTCAAGACTGTCAAGCGCACAGACATTGTCGCTGAATCTTTGGAAAGACCGAAGGAAATTGCTCAGGTTGAGTACAAAACAGAGGAAGTTGTCGAAGAAACTGAAACAATCGAATTGGCCAAGGTACCAAAGCCAAAGAAGCCAAAGAAGAAAAAGAAACCTGGAGAGGAAGAAGAAGTACCAGTTGTTGAAGAGACAGAGCAGACAGTAGATCTCGAGTCGAAAGCACGGCCTAAGGAAGAAAAGCCTAAGGAAGCGCCCGCGGCTGAAGAGATTATAATCGTTAAGAAAGAGGAAAAACCCCGAAAATCACTACTGAGTCTACCGAAATTCCAGATATCACTGATGTCAAGACTGTCCAGCGCACAGACATTCTCACTGAATCTTTAGAAAGACCGAAGGAAATTACTCAGGTTGAGTACAAAACAGAGGAGGTTGTTGAAGAATCTGAAACAATCGAATTGGCCAAGGTACCAAAGCCAAAAAAGCCAAAGAAGAAGAAGAAACCTGAAGAGGAAGAAGAAGCGCAAATTGTTGAAGATGCAGAGCAGACAGTAGATCTTGAGTCAAAAGCACGGCCTAATGGAAGAAAAGCCTAAGGAAGGCCCCGTGGTTGAAGAGATAATAATTCTTGAGAAAGAGGAAAAAGCCTAGAGAAATCACTACTGAGGCTACGGAAATTCCAGATATTACTGATGTCAAGACTGTCAAGCGCACAGACATTGTCGCTGAATCTTTGGAAAGACCGAAGGAAATTACTCAGGTTGAGTACAAAACAGAGGAGGTTGTTGAAGAAACCGAAAAAGTCGAATTGGCTAAGGTACCAAAGCCAAAGAAGCCAAAGAAGAAGAAGAAACCTGAAGAGGAAGAAGAAGTGTCAATTTTTGAAGAGACAGAGCAGACAGTAGATGTCGAATCAAAAGCACGGCCTAAGGAAGAAAAGCCTAAGGAAGCGCCCGTTGCTGAAGAGATTATAATCCTGGAGAAAGAAGAAAAACCCCGGGAAATCACTACTGAGGCTACCGAAATTCCGGATATCACTGATGTCAAAACTGTCCAGCGCACAGACATTGTCACTGAATCTTTGGAAAGACCGAAGGAAATTGCTCAGGTTGAGTACAAAACAGAGGCAGTTGTTGAAGAAACTGAAACAATCGAATTGGCTAAGGTACCAAAGCCAAAGAAGCCAAAGAAGAAGAAGAAACCTGAAGAGGAAGAAGTGCCAATTGTTGAAGAAACAGAGCAGACAGTAGATCTCGACTCAAAAGCACGGCCTAAGGAAGAAAAGCCTAAGGAAGCGCCCGTGGTTGAAGAGATCATAATCCTTGAGAAAGAGGAAAAACCCCGAGAAATCACTACTGAGGCTACCGAAATTCCGGATATCACTGATGTCAAAACTGTCCAGCACACAGATATTGTCACTGAATCTTTTGAAAGACCGAAGGAAATTGCTCAGGTTGAGTACAAAACAGAGGAAGTTGTTGAAGAAACCGAAAAAGTCGAATTGGCTAAGGTACCAAAGCCAAAGAAGCCAAAGAAGAAGAAGAAACCTGAAGAGGAAGAAGAAGTGTCAATTTTTGAAGAGACAGAGCAGACAGTAGATCTCGAATCAAAAGCACGGCCTAAGGAAGAAAAGCCTAAGGAAGCGCCCGTTGCTGAAGAGATCATAATCCTTGAGAAAGAGGAAGAACCCCGAGAAATCACTACTGAGGCTACCGAAATTCCGGATATCACTGATGTCAAAACTGTCCAGCGCACAGACATTGTCACTGAATCTTTGGAAAGACCGAAGGAAATTGCTCAGGTTGAGTACAAAACAGAGGCAGTTGTTGAAGAAACTGAAACAATCGAATTGGCTAAGGTACCAAAGCCAAAGAAGCCAAAGAAGAAGAAGAAACCTGAAGAGGAAGAAGAAGTGCCAATTGTTGAAGAAACAGAGCAGACAGTAGATCTCGAGTCAAAAGCACGGCCTAAGGAAGAAAAGCCTAAGGAAGTGCCCGTGGTTGAAGAGATCATAATTCTTGAGAAAGCGGAAAAACCTCGAGAAATCACTACTGAGGCTACCGAAATTCCGGATATCACTGATGTCAAGACTGTCCAGCGCACAGATATTGTCACTGAATCTTTAGAAAGACCGAAGGAAATTGCTCAGGTTGAGTACAAAACAGAGGAACTTGTCGAAGAAACTGAAACAATCGAATTGGTTAAGGTACCAAAGCCAAAGAAGCCAAAGAAGAAGAAGCAACCTGAAGAGGAAGAAGAAGTGCCAATTGTTGAAGAGACAGAGCAGACAGTAGATCTCGAGTCAAAAGCACGGCCTAAGGAAGAAAAGCCTAAGGAAGTGCCCGTGGTTCAAGAGATCATAATCCTTGAGAAAGAGGAAAAACCCCGAGAAATCACTACTGAGGCTACTGAAATTCCGGATATAACTGATGTCAAAACTGTCCAGCGCACAGACATTGTCACTGAATCTTTGGAAAGACCGAAGGAAATTGCTCAGGTTGAGTACAAAACAGAGGAAGTTGTCGAAGAAACTGAAACAATCGAATTGGCTAAGCTACCAAAGCCAAAGAAGCCAAAGAGGAAGAAGAAACCTGAAGAGGAAGAAGAAGTGACAATTGTTGAAGAGACAGAGCAGACAGTAGATCTCGAGTCAAAAGCACGGCCTAAGGAAGAAAAGCCTAAGGAAGCGCCCGTGGTTGAAGAGATCATAATCCTTGATAAAGAGGAAAAACCCCGAGAAATCACTACTGAGGCTACTGAAATTCCGGATATAACTGATGTCAAAACTGTCCAGCACACAGACATCGTCACTGAATCTTTGGAAAGACCGAAGGAAATTGCTCAGGTTGAGTATAAAACAGAGGAAGTTGTTGAAGAAACTGAAACAATCGAATTGGCTAAGGTACCAAAGCCAAAGAAGCCAAAGAAGAAGAAGAAACCTGAAGAGGAAGAAGAAGTGCCAATTGTTGAAGAGACAGAGCAGACAGTAGATCTCGAGTCAAAAGCACGGCCTAAGGAAGAAAAGCCTAAGGAAGCGCCCGTGGTTGAAGAGATCATAATCCTTGAGAAAGAGGAAAAACCCCGAGAAATCACTACTGAGGCTACTGAAATTCCGGATATCACTGATGTCAAAACTGTCCAGCGCACAGACATCGTCACTGAATCTTTGGAAAGACCGAAGGAAATTGCTCAGGTTGAGTACAAAACAGAGGAAGTTGTCGAAGAAACTGAAACAATCGAATTGGCTAAGGTACCAAAGCCAAAGAAGCCAAAGAAGAAGAAACCTGAAGAGGAAGAAGAAGTGACAATTGTTGAAGAGACAGAGCAGTCAGTAGATCTCGAGTCAAAAGCACGGCCTAAGGAAGAAAAGCCTAAGGAAGTGCCCGCGGTTCAAGAGATTATAATCCTTGAGAAAGAGGAAAAACCCCGAGAAATCACTACTGAGGCTACCGAAATTCCGGATATCACTGATGTCAAAACTGTCCAGCGCACAGACATTGTCACTGAATCTTTGGAAAGACCGAAGGAAATTGCTCAGGTTGAGTACAAAACAGAGGAACTTGTCGAAGAAACCGAAACAATCGAATTGGCTAAGGTACCAAAGCCAAAGAAGCCAAAGAAGAAGAAGAAACCTGAAGAGGAAGAAGAAGTGCCAATTGTTGAAGAGACAGAGCAGACAGTAGATCTGGAATCAAAAGCACGACCTAAGGAAGAAAAGCATAAGGAAGCGCCCGTGGTTGAAGAGATCATACTCCTTGATAAAGAGGAAAAACCCCGAGAAATCACTACTGAGGCTACTGAAATTCCGGATATAACTGATGTCAAAACTGTCCAGCACACAGACATCGTCACTGAATCTTTGGAAAGACCGAAGGAAATCGCTCAAGTTGAGTATAAAACAGAGGAAGTTGTTGAAGAAACTGAAACAATCGAATTGGCTAAGGTACCAAAGCCAAAGAAGCCAAAGAAGAAGAAGAAACCTGAAGAGGAAGAAGAAGTGCCACTTGTTGAAGAAACAGAGCAGACAGTAGATCTCGAGTCAAAAGCACGGCCTAAGGAAGAAAAGCCTAAGGAAGCGCCCGTGGTTGAAGAGATCATAATCCTTGATAAAGAGGAAAAACCCCGAGAAATCACTACTGAGGCTACTGAAATTCCGGATATAACTGATGTCAAAACTGTCCAGCACACAGACATCGTCACTGAATCTTTGGAAAGACCGAAGGAAATCGCTCAGGTTGAGTATAAAACAGAGGAAGTTGTTGAAGAAACTGAAACAATCGAATTGGCTAAGGTACCAAAGCCAAAGAAGCCAAAGAAGAAGAAGAAACCTGAAGAGCAAGAAGAGGTGCCAATTGTTGAAGAGACAGAGCAGACAGTGGATCTCGAGTCAAAAGCACGGCCTAAGGAAGAAAAGCCTAAGGAAGTGCCCGTGGTTGAAGAGATCATAATCCTTGAGAAAGCGGAAAAACCTCGAGAAATCACTACTGAGGCTACCGAAATTCCGGATATCACTGATGTCAAGACTGTCCAGCGCACAGATATTGTCACTGAATCTTTTGAAAGACCGAAGGAAATTGCTCAGGTTGAGTACAAAACAGAGGAACTTGTCGAAGAAACTGAAACAATCGAATTGGTTAAGGTACCAAAGCCAAAGAAGCCAAAGAAGAAGAAGCAACCTGAAGAGGAAGAAGAAGTGCCAATTGTTGAAGAGACAGAGCAGACAGTAGATCTCGAGTCAAAAGCACGGCCTAAGGAAGAAAAGCCTAAGGAAGTGCCCGTGGTTCAAGAGATCATAATCCTTGAGAAAGAGGAAAAACCCCGAGAAATCACTACTGAGGCTACTGAAATTCCGGATATAACTGATGTCAAAACTGTCCAGCACACAGACATCGTCACTGAATCTTTGGAAAGACCGAAGGAAATCGCTCAGGTTGAGTACAAAACAGAGGAGGTTGTTGAAGAATCTGAAACAATCGAATTGGCCAAGGTACCAAAGCCAAAGAAGCCAAAGAAGAAGAAGAAACCTGAAGAGGAAGAAGAAGTGCCACTTGTTGAAGAAACAGAGCAGACAGTAGATCTCGAGTCAAAAGCATGGCCTAAGGAAGAAAAGCCTAAGGAAGTGCCCGTGGTTGAAGAGATCATAATCCTTGATAAAGAGGAAAAACCCCGAGAAATCACTACTGAGGCTACTGAAATTCCGGATATAACTGATGTCAAAACTGTCCAGCACACAGACATCGTCACTGAATCTTTGGAAAGACCGAAGGAAATCTCTGAGGTTGAGTACAAAACAGAGGAAGTTGTCAAAGAAACTGAGACAATGGATTTGGTTAAGGCACCTAAACAAAAGAAGCTGAAAAAGAAGAAAAAGCCTGAAGAGGAAGTATCAGTGTTTGAAGATATAGTGCAGACCTATGATGTAGAGTCAAAGGAAGTGCCACAAGGAAAGATACCAGAAGAGATTGAAGAGATTACTGTTATAAAAGAAATAACAGTTTTTAACAAAAAAACTGTAGAGACTGTCACGGAGACTAAAAATGTTTTACAGACTGAATTCACTCAATCACTTGTCTCTGAAGAATTAGTTGTCTCTGAAATTCCTGAAGCCACAAGTGCTCATATAAGCCTTGTTGAAAGCCGTCCAGTTGTCATAGAAGAAATTAGCAGTGAGTTAAACACTGATGAACTTGAATCTGATCGTAAACCCAAGGAAGAGAGACCACAAGCGGCATTAACAGAAAGTAAAGCTGTTACTATTGAAGAAGCATTCGCATCTGAAATGCCAGAAGCTGTGAGTGTGCCTCAACAAGAAACGCATGAGGCATCACAAAGTATAATAATAGAAGAAAAGTCTCTTGTTGTGGAAGAGACAACAAGCGAACAGTATGCTTCAGAATTTCTCGCTAAGGCTCCCACGAAAAGGCAGAAGGCGAAGGAAGTCCTTGAGCCTCAGCAACCAATAGAAGTACTGGAAGCTGAAACCCTTTTGAGTACGGAAGAGTTGAAGGCTTTACCAAAAGAAAAGTACCAGAAAGCACTTGGTATGCTTGAGGAACAGAGTCTTGCTTTTAGAGATGTTGGAGAAGAGGAAATAGCACCAGAGTTCGCACCTGATGATGTCTTCTCAAAGGAAGCAAGCAAGACGTTGCTTCTCTTTCCACAGCATCAAATCGATGTGACAGAAGTAATACCAGGCGCTGCCACTGAGGAGCTCATTATTGAAGAAACAGTAAAGAAGAAAGGAAATGTGACATATGTTGAAGAATCAAGAGAAGTTTCTGCCATATTAGAAGAAGTTCCATCAGAATTCCAGCCAGCAGACATTCCAACAAAAACTCTTACATCAAGAATAACGGACACAGCCAGGAGCTACCCACAATATGAAGAGCAGGCAGCAGAATTTTATGAGGGCATACCTATGCTTGCTCATGCTGACCAAAGTCGTGTAGAATTTGAAAGAAGTGCACCTGCAGTGCATGAGTTAGCCACGGAATTTTTAGCCTCTGTAGATAGGGAATCGACGGCCTCAGTGTCACATGTGGAAATTCCCAGAGAAGTCACCACAACTGAAGAGATGGCTGCTCATTTTGATATAACTTCTCCTGAGAAAACACATCTAACTACGGAGTTCACACAGTTTCCCCGTGATACCGTTGAGGTACACGAGCAGGCTATGGAATTCAAAGCAGATAGAGTGTTACCATTGCGGCCAGGTTCAACAAATATCGGGGATGTGAAATCTTATGTTGCCTCCGAAGAGATTGCACCATTATTTGAAGCACCATCAGCCAAGGAAGAAACCCTTCAGAAAGACATTGTTGATGTTCGAAGGGAAACTCTCTTCATTGAAGAAATACAAACAGAAGAGCAAACTCATGAGGCAGACCTTACAGTTATTCCAGAGAAGAAAAGTGCACAACCATCAAAAGTCCTCCCAGCAGAACACCTCTCCATTCAGGTAATTTGCATGAAATGGACAACGCAATCGCATACACACTTGCATATTTAAAGAAGAGTAAGTCAGAAAATTCTTAACACGTTTAGAAAAGAAATTATCATTTAAAAGGCATGCAACTGCTTTTTATTACTGTATGCTGTTTTACAACAGACCCTACACAATTTTAGATTGTTACATTGCTTGTTGAATTGTTATATAACTTGTTGAATAGAGTGTTTCAACCGAACTTAAATACTTATTTCTTAAAGAGCAAGTAAACAACCTCGCAGTCCAAAATTTCTGATTGAAGAATAACTGTGCACTTGTAATATGTGAAAATGTTGCTGAAAGGGCTGTAATAAAGAAGCTACACGGTGTAGAATAACCAACTTTGACTGGTTTCAGTTTCTTGTTTGACCTCCCCATTTGTCTCAGCAGATGAGATGGTTAGGCTTAGCCCTTTCTTGTGATGGCACCTGCTTTGGCTACATAACAAAACGTTGGTGATTACATCAAGGACATGCAGCCAATGACTCAGCATTTTTTCTCTTACCAGTCGCTCGGGACATAACAACGCGGGAACGAAGCGCAGTGCTAAGGGTGCGAGTCACTCATGAGGTATGCTCACTTCCGTTAGCTGTAAAGTCACGGGATGCATCTTAAGCTCTGAAGCTTTTGTTCTGGCAATACCGTTTGTTTCGCTAGTCTTGGTGCTCTGTCAAAGTGGCACAGGGCAGCACAGGAAAATGCAAACGCGTTCTGCTTGGCCAAAATGACCAAAACTTCATCAGCGCATGGCCAAGGTTCTGTTTCATAGTGCACAGGACCAATCAACGAAGTCGGTCCTGCACGTTGTTTCCCATAGGCAAGATCACTTCAAGTTCAAAGAGAGTTAATTAGGTGTTGGAAGGGTGCGGCAAACGTTTTTCAAAATGCATTGGTTGTGCAGCATGCCTCACAGTGATATTTGCAAAATGTGATCGCCGGGGCCTTCTGTGTGAATCAGCGAGCTTGTTTGGGAGGTGTTAAATAAAAGATGTAGCCTGCTTCCTGGCTCTTAAAGATTTTTAAAAATAATGAACTGTAGTACATAATATTACTCTGATGACACATCTAGACCTCTGGAGGTCACTAGTGTAGAAATTTATTCAGAAAATTTAATCAATCATATTCCACTAATAAATTATTTGAATCAATTACCTTGGAGAACATCATTTTCAGAAAATGTTGTGGATCTGTAGGTCAAGATTATGGGCCAAATATTGCACTGCATTTAGCATCTAATTTTCAATATTGTGTCTAGTGCACCCAAAAGATTTTCTGCTCTTTTCACCATGTCAGTAGATGCTGAGTAGCAATAGCGTCAAACAAGTATTGAAAAATTGCATGATCACAAGAACATTCTCATAAATATAACTAGTGTTAATCGTCAGTTGAATAGCTCAAATCTTTTTAGTCTCTTTAATCTCGAAATAACCGAAGAAGTATTTATTTTTTTGTTTTGATCCCTATTTGTCATTTTCTTTTACAAATGTGTCAAACAGCACCCAGCAAATCACATGTACGCTCATTCAAAATACTATGTGCCTTGCAGCACTGAACCTGCTGCAACAGTAATCCGTAGCGACTAAAAAAATTGGTGGATTGGGCTAGTTGGTATGTCATGGCTTCAGGTGAGAGTAATACATCTGCCAAGCAGACTAGTTAACTGCATTTATGGAGTGTGTCGTCTTGTTTCACTGCACTCTGCCGAATCTAAATGTCGCAAGCGGAGTGTAGTTTTATGGGGTATATATCTGCATTTAAACCTGGGAGTGTTAGTCAGCGCCACAAGTAGCCATGACAGCCAGTGTGCACTACTCTTTTTCTGCCTGTTGCCAAAAAGATTGTCCCCGGTTCAGTCCCTGCTAGGGGCAATTTATCTTTTCATCCACTTTTCTTTCTTGAGATTTATATTACAATTACAGTTGAACCCCTTTATGAGAGGCATGGTCCAGTCAGCAATTGTTGTCTTTTATATGAGATGTCTCTTATAAGCATGGTACCATGCATGCATTCTTTTATCAAATCATATTTTACTGCAGGCACACTGGTGTCTCTTATACCCGTTTGTCTCATATATCAATGTTTCTCATAAAGGGGTTCAACTGTATTACTAGGAAAACTCCCAACACTTTGCTGGGCATCACCATCTATTAGTTCTCAATAATATTGTGTCTAACAAAGAAAAACAAACCCTTAATATTCAACTTTTTTTCATTCATAGGGAGGGTCTCATTCTTGTAGCCTTGATGTCTTCAGGTAGTATGCGAGGAATTATTGGTCTGCCACCAGCTCATAATAAGATCACATGCAACGGGGTGCCAACAGGCCAAGAAAGTGTTTCACACTTGCCATCATAGCTACTAGCGGCGCTAACTAACAAAGACTCTCAGGTTTAAATTCGCATGATATGTGCCGTATAAAGTGGACGGGCGGGTGACTACCGCTGTAGTTAGGTTGATAGAGCACTGAACGCATCATTCGAAGATGGCAGGTTCGACCTCTTCCAGCAACGAGTTCTCTTTTCGTCCACTTTTCTTTCTTCACATTTACAGTTACTACTTATAACATCTCCTACACTTTCCTCGACATCATAGTCTCTTAATTCTCATAAATATTGTGTCTAACAAAAAAAACTAGCCTTCAAGTGTCCACTTCTTTTCTCCTGACATGATGAATAGCAGCCCCAAATCTTCAAATAGAATTGAAAGGGCAGAGTGCTTCACTGTATTTTAAATCTTACCTTTATTGTATAAGCAGCTAGTTATGCACTATAAAATTATTGAATGTTGGGCATGCTGTTTTGACATAAATACCATCGTAACTTGGTGTAAGCGATAAAAGTGTACAAACAATCACCCTTGCCCAGCGACGATAGTTATAGCGCAAGAACAAAATGACGACACAAAGATATAACTATCGTCATGCCATACCAACTAGCCCAAGCTGCCATACCGCCCAGCGAGTTTTATTGACATCTATTGACCTCAATAAATCACCAGAGTTTGTAGAGAGCTAGGTGTACACGTACATACGTTTGTACACCTTGGCACCTTAGAAAGCATTATTTGAAACCAGCATAGTTGGTGTAGGTTCATTGCACTATGGTAGGTCTTGTTGTGCCTTAGATTAAAAGCAAGATACACTAGATACACACAAGTGAAGCACATACTAACTACATCTGTAATGTCTGCAACATAGTTACGAGGAAAAACACCTTGGAACATAGCAAGCTATTTCATCATGCACTTTGATTCACCATTTTGTATAAAAGAAATATGCATGAGCCCTCCACGTGCAGTGATATCGTGACTTTTGCTCAAGACAATTCTCTGAGGAGGAGAGGATGCATGCAGGCATTGCTTGTAGGGGCTCTGTCCTTTTTCCCTTAGTTTGCCAATATTTTTTAGCTTTCCATCGTGTGTTTTCAGCTTGCAACAATTCACATGCTCAGTGAATAATTCTGGGCTGCAGCACCACTAGTGAATAGTGGCAAAGGGAAACACAAGCTTGCTAAATATGCCTAAGTGAAGTGATGTGTAGGTGCTACTAGATACGCACCTTTATTGGCAAGACGCTTGACTCATTGTGTGCTCCAGGCAGAAATATAATGTGAAACTCATGGCAATGCAAGCACCTGTGCATAAGTTATGTTTCTGTAAATTTGAAATATTTAATTCACACATTTTGCTACACATCTTGTAATATTACCATATATAACATTGGCACAGCAGTGTACTTTTCCACAGGTGATATGACAAAAAGATGTGGGAAATTTATGGTTCATGTGCTGCACTGGTGCAGTAGCACACAATCACCTGATATATTTGCTTACACAGTATGCACAGAACTTACGGTGCAGCCATTGTGGACTTGCATCATTTCTTCAAGCTCGATTTGATTGAGACAATTGAAGCCGTCGTGTTAAGAAATTGGGGAACATGTATTTTACTGATTTAAATGGCTGATAATTTCCCAAGTTTCACTTTTGCACCGCATGGCATCTTCTGGCAAAACAGCGCAGCGCTGTTGCTTTGTACCATTTGTGATGAATAGCGTGCTTCAAATTCGCTCTCTTTTAGCCTTGAGAGCTAAACTAAAGATGACGAACAATGTCAGAGGCAAATATGAGAGCTAACTTCCAACTAAGCTTTATTATGTAGAATACAGAAACAAGTAGCAGAATTTGAAAAAAACAATACGATCAGCCATGCATATAAAATGAGCAAGAAAACATAGCTTTTATTCAATCTTTACAGACACTGGTTAGTATCCCACAACCTAAAGAAAATGTGAGCACTGACGTTTGAGTGGTGTTTTCTGCCCAGGCTGTGAAAAAGACCACACAGTGCACCTGGTGGGCACAACCACGACCACAATTGTGTGTAGGTAGCAGTAGAAAAAACAAGGGTTACAGGAAGGACATATAGATGCATATAGCACCACATACTTACACGAATATGTGTCACCCTTGTGTTGCACTGCTACTTTAAATGATTTATAACCAACATAATCAGACCACCTGCTTTTGAGCATTATAAACAGTCTAGCAACATGATATTTACACTCAATACAAGATCTTATGCTCGCATGCCATGAGACACCTGAGCATAGCAGGCTTTTGAAAGAGGAAACTTAGCTAATCGTTACTGCCCTATTCATGTGAATGAAGAAGGAGTACGAGCAAAAGGAACATGAAAATCGGGCACTCTTCCTGCAGGTTTTTTTTTTCCACTGCAGTAATTTAATGTGTGTTCCTTTTTTTTTTTTCGAGCCAACTTGTCTACCAGTTCATGCTGCTTTCTTCATGCCTCTATCCATTTTCACTAACATTGCATTGGTTTTACAACATTAACCGTTGTTCTGGATAAAGTGTTCACAGATGGCGATGAGGTTTCATATGATCACAGCATGATGCCTTTGAGCACACCACCTGTGCTCCACTTGTTCCTCCATGTGTATCCCTGACTTACCATTACAGGTGTCTGAAGTGACACCAGATCATGGGACGAGCGAGCTTCCAACTGAAGTGCCTACTCAAAGACATCTCAAGCACACTATTACAGAAGGAGTGTCCATGACACATGAGGTGGCCACTGTGCTTGGTAAGTTGAGATGTAGCATACACCGAGTGCAGTATGTGTCATTTTTGTATGTTATCTCTCACTGTGATATATATTTACTGTTTAAGTACCCTCAAATGAAAAGAACTTTGGGCAGTTCGAGGTAAGTTACATGTGACATTAACCACAGTTGGTTGCCATTAATGCATTTGCTTGGTGAGCTGCTTAAATTTGCTACTCAAGCTGCGTGTCAGACTAACGTACCACTGATGATATCTGTCCTTCAGTCCGGTCAATTACATTGTAGACCAGTTGTATGTATTCAGAATATACAGAAAGAAGAAAATAATAATTGATTTGTATAATTAAAATGTAACTAGAATAGCCATCTTGAGAAGGAAATTCCAACTGGATTCAGTGACCCATAGCAAGACTATGTCAGTATTATCATGTTGTTGGAGTAAATATAAGTAGAGTAACTTTTATTTACAAAAATAAAAGCTAATGTACATGTATAAATAACATGAGACATAACATTCCTCATGAAATTCCTTGAGCACTTGAAATATTAGATTAGCAGCAACACAAAATAAATCAGACAAACCAACTGTTGAAAAAGACAGTAAACATGTTAAGTGGAACAAGCCATGCAGTTTTGCAGTGCTACAAAACTGCATTGCATAGTCTTTGTGAGTTACAAGTGGTCTACACTTTTGCATTTAAAGACTTTGTACTCACACACTGCAATACGTACTATCAGCAATGCTTTCAAACCTATGATTAACATTCTTTTTTTACAAAGACACTAATCATAGAGGGACCTAGATAAGGCACTGTGAAGGTGCAATTTAAACAGCAACTCTTGCTTTTGCACATTGAGTCTACGTTCACTCATCCATCATATCTGATAGCTCGCACAGCCAAACGAAATTCAATGGAACATGTAACTGGCAATGGGAGCTACTGGAACACTACAGTATTATATATGATACACAGCTTCCATTGTTGCACAGGTGCAGTATGGGGCCATTATTTATATGAGCAGTTGTATGTATAAGTAAAGATGTGATTGTTCTATGTACTATGTTTGCACATTAACCATGAGGCATCACATTAAGAAAATCTTTAAGCACTAGCTGTCAGGGAAATTGGACCATACCAGATAAACAGATGCACAGTTGAAATAGTTTCCAAAACACTATTTTTTTTGCTGTTACATATACTTGTGAAAAAAATTAATTTTCAAAGAATTACAGAAGGGTTAAAAATTTACTTTCTTCTTAGATGGTTGGCAACTTGAGAACAGCGCGAAATGGTGGTATGCATGTTCTCATGTCTTGTCCCATCATTTCATGCTGTTCTTCAGTCCTTCAAGTGTGAGTTTGCTCACATACTTGAGAAACACCATAGCATCTATGAAATATAGCAAAGAACTTCAGTTCTCAGAACACCACAGAGTTCCATATATTTTCCACCTCACTGTAATGTTTGTCCACTATTTCCATGCAACAAAGCTTTACTGCCACAGCAGAGGAAATTCAAAGCGGTGAATAGAAACTTCAGCTGGTGCCACTGGTGATTATGACAGGGTTTTATCTGCCACACCGGTATCAGCTCTATTAGATTATGACAATGTTTTGTGATAATACATTTAGAAAACTTTTTTTTTACTAATGCATAGTTGTGACCAAGATTCACGACACTACAACAAGTTGGCTCAATTCTTAATTCGATGCGTTATGTCACAAAACAGAAAATGTGACCATCAATTAACAGAAGTGCTGTAATTTAGGTTGTTGCCTTGCTTTCATGCAATTTTAGACCACAGCTGTTGGCATGCAATGATTGATTGATTCGTGGGGTTGAACGTCCAAAAAGTGGCATACAATGGCTCTCGATGTTGCGCATTCGCAGGGCTGAATAGAGCAAGTGGTTTGTTTCAGTCATGCCACTCTTGCCAACACTCAATTCTTTTATGACAAGCTATACAGGCAGGATAGTTGAGAGAGCTTTGCTTAACCAATATTACCACAGTACGTTGTAGTACTTGCGTTTTTTTTTTACGAGTGATGTGATTTACGATGTGATTTACGAGTGCTTTGAAGAGTACTTCACTGGCATGGCATGAAATCATGGTCACTAGGTCTTATGTTCAACAAAATAAATACTTCTTTATGTTATTGAACTTTGCTTTTTTTTGATACTGCTGTATTATTTCAAAATACTTGTGGCAATTTTCATAGAAAACTGAATCCTTCAGGAGCCATACTTTGCATAAAAGGTCAAATTTCAGATAACCAAGTTTTGATATAACGAAGTACATAAACTACAGATTTCACCGGCTACATTATATCAAGTATTAAATGTACTTATTTCACCATCTCACTTCTTTTTTTCTTCATTAACAATAAAAGTATCACAGCTGCTATAACTGGCCATACGATGCTAAATACAAGCGTCAGTGACTCAACTGTAACATCTTGATGAATTTCTTTATTTAATTACCAGCTTCAGTATTATTCACCATCGTGATGGCAGAGCTTCCCAGCAGTTCAGAGGAATGCCTAAACATATTGCCGCGCCCGAAACAAAGAACGAAGACAATGTGCGCGCCAACAGCTCGTGAAAAGGGGGACTGAAGAAGACGACGTGCTTTTGTTTTGCTCGCCTGCTCTTGGCCCCTGCATAAAAACACACGCCGTCGGTTCTCGGACTCAACGTCTCGGTGCACTGCTTACGTTGAACCGTGACAATATTTAAGATAAGTAATGTTGAGCATGATTACTGTAGTGTACGGTCCACTTTTTTTTTAATAGGACATGAAATATTATTAATAGAACGTGAATAGGACATCATTTATTATTTTCCTGTTACTCCCTTCATGTTGTTTGTAAATTTTGGCTGAACATTTGAGTAATCACGAATGAACTAGCTTAGACAAAGCTGTGTGTGCATATAGTCTTATAATTTGCTCGAGCTTCACAGCCATTTGCATTACAACTGAAAACAGTGATGTGTATAATATAGGCATCTCACAAGGGGTCAAATAGCTTAAATGTTATTGATTAGGCCTCACTCATAAGTCTCTTAAGTGTCCTTTTTTCAGTTTAAGTATATTAGTACAAGGTGTAATATGTGGGATATTAATATTGAACTGCATATAAAAATAATTATTGTTTATACCATAACAAATCTTAGTCACTAAAAAGTAATGTTCACTGAAATTTATGATGTGCACATATTGCGATGTATTGAAGCAACACTATATGATAAGCATTAGGATGCTGCGGGGAGCTATATATTACAGTAATGGCAGCATTTTTTTGTGTGGCCGTACAGTAACACACTGCAAAATTATGGTAGACAGGCACAAGACCAAATTTTGTGTCACACAAGCAACTGGGCACCCACTGTACATACCATATGCCACCCATTCAAGGCTGTAGCATACTCTATAAGAAAGATTTTCATTTCACTTATTTTTGTTCAAGTTATCTTTCCATGTTATAACCAATTGAGCCATTTTTTTAAAACCAGCTATTGTAGTTATAATAAATAAAACATGCACAATAAATGCTGTCAGTGTACCAAAGATAGATGTCAGGCATTTTCCAAACTAGGAATATTCTCTTATTTTTACTGTTTAGTAATAATGAGCAAGGTGAGGTGTGCACGAACTTTCTTTGTCAAGAACACAATAACAAAGTTCATCTTTGGGGTTTAATGCCCAAAAACCACCATATAATTATGAGAGACGCTGTAGTGGAGGGCTCCGGAAATTTTTACCACCTGGGGTTCTTTAACGTGCACCCAAATCTGAGCTCACGGGCACACAGCATTTCCGCCTCCATCGAAAATGCAGTCGCCACAGCCAAGATTCGATCCCGTGACCAGCGGGTCAGTAGCTGAGTACCTTAGCCACTAGACCACCGCGGCGGGGCACACAAAAACAAAGTTCAAGCTTATGGTGTTGAAGGCAAGAAAACTTGCTGGAATAGGGCATGCAGTGTAACTTGCCCTCAGTGTTCCAAAGCACCTAAAGGTCAAAACTTTTACAAACTCTATAAAGTGAGGCAGGACGCTGTCCATTGCATACTCAGAGTACTTTCAGTGCTTTATGAAATGGTGTGTGTCCTCTAACCTCTAATTAGTGCTCTGTGCCCACAGCGGTTGCTACATGGTTAAAGCATCTGCTTCCAGTGCAGAAAGTGCCGGCTGGATTCCCAGTGACAATTGGGAACCCACCCGTTTTTCCCAATGGGTAGAGGAGTACACCAACCTGGCGTTCGATTGTTTCTGACTGATAATCTGAAAAGATAGCCCCATAAAGTTCTGCGAAGGCCCCTGGCTGTACCTTAACCCACCTCAACCTTGGTGAAATAGTTGAGCTTCCACCACTGCTTTGGGAGGCAGAGAATTGCTGCCACCAGGTACCCATTGGTTAATAGGTACAAGTGCACTTCCAGCCTGGTGCATCAGCAGAATGAAGTTCTAGTTAGTCGCTTGGGAGGGCACCCACCCCGTGGGAAATTGGAAGCATGGGACCACCAGACCAAAAATTCAGGTCATTCTTTTTTTTTTTCTTTATACTCAGAGTACTCTCAGTACTTTATGAAAAAGTGTGTGCACCCATAATGGCTTCAGTAATCATACATTTTTCTTGTATATAGGTAGTTACTTTGTTGTACACTGTAGCTGGTGTTATTTCCAGAAGAAGAGTACAGAATTACAGTACATGACATGATGTATAGTTTGTAGGTTTTCGCTTAGGTTCAAAGTAAATTCAAAGCAAATAGTTACTCAGTTCAAATAATTTGGACTTGAATTCAAATAGTATGTATCACACGTTGTAAAGGAAAATAAGCATATTTGTCGCGACCCAAATAACTTGCACAATATTTTGTTTTATTGAGATAAGGCCCATACGATACCATTCTTTTCGGTTCAAAGAAAGTGGAAATTACTTTGAATAGCAGTGAGATTAGACTTTCGGTATAGTGATAACCTACAAAATATCGTTACTGCATACATGATTTAAATAT